ACGGATTCTAGCAGCTTTCCCCATTCTAAGCATAGGAAGTACTTGCTCACAACAATATTTTATGTAACCATGAAAAGGTGGAAGGAACCATTCTGAGGGCAACCATTATATTACTCTGTGCTGATATACCTATCCCTTGATGAATATATAGGGATATACTACGTAAGCTACACCCAAGTCCCTTAGTGAATTTAAACTTTTTTTGATGCAGTCCCTACATAGGCAAAAATTTCCAGGAAAGCTCATTTGAATTTGCCTAAGTAAAGACTTCAGGCTTTAGCTCCACAAGGATTAAATTAAAACACAAAGGGCCAGAGTGTGACCTGACAGTGAGCAGTTACTCTCATAAATAATCCCACTGAAGTCAATGGAACTGCTTGTGTAGATGATTGCTCATCAGTAGGGTATGGGTTAGAGTTATAATATTGCACATAGTGAGTCCTTTGGTAGACTTAAGAAACAAACAAACAATCAAGCAAGAAATGTTCTGCAGCTCATTTGAAACAGCTACTGAATGAAGCATCCACTGCAAAAAAGAGCAAGCCATCAAATAGGTTATATACTTGTACTTATGGTAGTTTAAGTTATTTTTACCTCTTGGATCAAATCTGAAGAATTCTGAAAATTATATCGTGTCATGAATTTATTCTATTAAAAGAATCATCTATTGGGGTGATCATTCTCTGACATAGTAAATACATGAAAACCTCAATTGAATTTTTGTCTCCTCCAATATTTGGGTATTTTTGATCCTATCCAGCTTCTTTCTGCTTTATATTACCTTTGAGAAAAGACTGGAAAGAAAAGCACATCTATCCCTCTGAGACAACTGCAAAAGACTGCATGTGTCAGTCTGTATCTGTCTAAGTAGCAACATTTTTGGAAACTAGTGAGGAAATTAAATAACCGGTGCCACCTTCATCATCTTTGACTTTTTGAAAGACTTTTTGCCATCTCTCCTTCTACACATAAACATGCCTTGCCCTCGATGAAACAGGAAATCACTTGATATGTCTGCTGAACCAGTACCTCCATAGTTGTGTAATATGTTTGTACAGTTTTCAGTAGGGCTAATGGATAGTTCAATCCTCCCTCTAGAAAGAGGGGCTGATCAAAAGTATCCTACAATACACAAAAATGCATATTATGAATATTACATGAACATTGTTATGATAAATATGAGAGCATCTTAAAAGCTTCAGTTCAGATAATCATTCCCCACGTTGGTCCATAAATCAGACAACGGATCTTATAAGGAAAGATTTTCTCATGAGTTTTCCAGAGATATAGACTGTAGTTTCCAGTCCTGGCTATTTCCAGGAAATGCATAAAAAGGCAAACATATTTTCAAGTTAGCTAAACTTTATAGCATCTCCTGAATGTTTGGCTTGAGTTTTGGATGAAGATTTCTTATTTTGTGTAAATTGGCCTCACAGCTCTAGTGGTAAAAATCTTTCTTCCAGTGATCATCCTTCCTCAGTAAATTAGTGCTCATCACATTTGAAAATCAGGTTACTTATTAGGAACTCAAATAAGTACTTAAAAAGGATAAATTCAATCTCTTATTATTCAAATTCTTGGCCTTAGGCACCTAAATAAGTTTCATGATTTCAACCCCCAATTGCCTTTAAGCATGAATAAGCCTTTTTATAGAATACAATAGGAGGCATGAGGATATTCAACACTTCTAGAAATCAGGAAACATAATTAGGTGCTTAGGTAAGGATTTAAAGGTAGGATTTTCAAATGCAACGAGGCCTACCTCTGCTCCCAATGAAGCCAGTTCAGAGTTACACCTCTTGTAACCTTTAGCCTAGTGGTTAAGGCATTCGCATGAGATTCAACAAACATGCCGAAAATGTTCAGATGTTGTTCCACCCAGCCCAACTGCCTACTGTATAAATCCTCGTCAAAATCCTAAGCCTTTTCAAACATTCCAAAAATAAGCAACCCTCCATATTTAATGTGTATTTTTCAGTGGCTATGATACTGTCTGCCTTAATGTCAAAGACAAACAAAAACAGCCACTGCAGAAAATGGCCCCCATAAATAACTAACATGCAGAAGCATGTGTGATGTTGCACTCCATAATGCTTTATAGAAATATGCTTATGAGTGTAAGTATGACATAACTGGAATATGTTTTATGCTAGATATGCCATGGAACATATCTCTGCAAAGGTTATGCATCCTATTTGTATGCATGTATCATTTTAGTATTCAAAGTTATGAATATTGGATGTGTATTTGTCTGATTTTAAGTAGCCTCAGTGAAGCATTTGGTCAGCTTCTTGAGAAAAGACTATTCTCAGTAAGTGCCCAATCAAGAAACACTTAAGCTGACAATGAACTATAAGAGACGCCAATCCACATCTGAGCTTTCCTGGGAATGTGGTATTGGCCTGTAAAGTTCTGCGTCATGCATGGACATGTGACTTGTCCATGTGACTCCAAAACTCCATCTTGGAGCTGGATTCTGCATGGGAGAGGAGAGGGGTTTCCACCCACGAGAGAGACTATATATGCTCCCTCCATTTTGTCTTCAGCTGGCTCAAAAGAGAGCCTCTCCACCCAAAAGAGATGCCTGAAATAAACTGGAACAAAGGACAGTAACTACAGGGGTGTGAGTGATTGCTGGACCCAGACTAGAAGGAGGCTAGTCTGTCAAAGAAGCTTATTGGAACATCTCTGAGGGTTAGATTTACCTGCATTGTTTCCTACTGCATTAGGTTTAGACTTGCATGTTTTATTTTATTTTGTTTGGTAATTTATTTTGTTCTGTCTGTTATTACTTGGAACCACTTAAATCCTACTTTTTGTATTTTTATAAAATCACTTTTTACTTATTAATTAACCCTGAGTATGTATTAATGGGGGGAGGGGCAAACAGCTGTGCATATCTCTCTATCAGTGTTATAGAGGGCGAACAATTTATGAGTTTACCCTGTATAAGCTTTATACAGGGTAAAATGGATTTATTTGGGGTTTGGACCCCATTCGGAGCTGGACATCTGAGTGCTGGAGAGAGGAGCACTTCTTAAGCTGTTTTTTTAAGCCCGCAGCTTGTGGGGGATATGGTTCAGACTTGGATCTGTGTTTGCGGCAGGCAAGCGTGTCTGGCTCAAACAAGGCAAGGAACTGGAGTCCCAAGCCAGCAGGGAAAACGGGCTCAGAGGTAGTCCCAGCACATCAGGTGGCAGTTCCAAAGGGGTTTCTGTGACCCAACTCATCACAGCATGGATATAAGTAAGGACCTGACACTGTTTCCATTCTAATCCAAGATGAGAAGGAAATTAGAACTTGATCACTTCAACCAAAGTGAAGGTGAGCTTGAGTTTACAATGGGTCATATTCTGATCTCAGTTACATCATTGTCTATCGATGTAACCCATTGAAGTTAAATGAGTTACTGTGAACTGTCTCATGATGAGAAAGCAGAATTTGACCTTTGTCAATTGTAGTTTTTCCAGTATTTATAACATAGTTATTGTATTATTAAAAACATTTACTTTCTAAAGTACTACATTTTGCCTCTTTTCTTCTCTGGCTTGAATAAAGCAAGTGCAGTTTTACAGAATTGAAAATAAACGGTTGTAAGAACTTTCCACCTTTCCTGTAGCACATGTTGCTCTCCACCATGGTATCAGTGTCATCTTCATTATCCCCTGGACAACACTATGCTTGTCCCTCCTGTGCACTTGCTACTGGTTCCATGGTAATAGGAAGAACTTCTCATTTACTTCTGTCTGACATCCAGTGTTTTAAAGAATGTGCCTGTAGACACACTAACCAGAGCCACGTGGAATATACTTCAAATGGAAATCTGAGGTGCGCATTACTCTCTGCTAGTCCACCAGGTTCTTTCTGCTGAACTTTAAATCAGTGGGATGACCCTACATCAACAGTGGAATTGGCGGCAGCAAGTCTCAGAACAGGAGCAGTTAAATTAGTAATGATAAGCTCTAGAAAGGCAGTTCTCTTTCTGCTTCTAGTATTTCTAAAAATACTATTCATAGCCCCCTGCAAAAAAAAAAGGGAAGACCTATCCCCAAAATACCAGAATTTAAGTTTAAAGAAAAAAAGCAGATGAAAGATTTAGAATGAGCAGTTGAAAACCGTAGAAAAGACTTGAACAAACAGATATACAAATATATATATATATACAAATATCTAATTATAAACCTGACACTAGGCGATGTTATGCTAACCCATAACTGAGATATAAGCTTGAGGCATTGTGAAATTTTGAATGCCCTTTTTCTGGAATGGCCTTGACTTAGTTTCCATCTTGTATATGGTACCTAGTGTAGCACTAGATATTTTTTGCATGAGTATGATTAATGAAATATCTAGCATTTAAAAGATCTTTTGTTGACTTTCAGGATGTGTGACTTCTGTAGTCTTAAAGAAAAATGGAATAATTTGCCAACATTTAAAATTTAACAAGTGTTGGTAAATTTTAAATCCAGGTTGGATTTTCCCCCCTAAAAGATATGCTCTAGTCCAAGCACAGCTATCAGACCTGAAGCAGGAATTTATTCAGGGAAGTCCTTTGGTCTATCTTATGCAGGAAGTCAGACTAGATGATCACAGTGGTCCATTCTGGCCTTAAAATCTGTGACTCTAGGCAATTCACAAGTGAGCCTTTCAATGCATCATTCTGTTAACACTCTGGTACATGTGCACTCAGTAAGGTTTATGAATCTGTATCTCAGCTTGAACATAAGAGCAATTCCTCATTAGATCAGATGTGTAATTTTGGTTTATTAATAATGCCCATTATACATATCTTTTAGTTGCATTTGAATAGAATTACACTGACACTATCGTTGTAGCAGGGTAGGATGTATTTCTGTTACCTTTTACACAACTTTGATTGCCCATTCAAGAGAGATCTATTAATGCCAGGATACGCTTTAGGACTCCTTCTGAGCTGAGTAATGTGGACTTGGCAAAGTTTGTGAGCAATCCTGCCAAATGTAACGGAGAACTGTGCTTACCTGGCAGGGGGCAGCCTAAGATTTCCAATCTCATACAGATGCTCCCTTCTTCGTACCATGACCGAGGGTTTATACGGATATAACGTGCAACAATTGGTACTGGCAGTTCATTGAGTACCGGGATCTCTTTCTCGCTGTTTCCTTCAAAAATCTATTCAGGTTCAAACATACAAAAACGTCAAGTTCAGTTCAACCGGGCTCACCGAACCTTTGGTAATAACATCTGGAACTAGATCAAACTCAAAGTTGGAATGAGATTATGCCCTGATAGGTAGGTGAGGGGAACTCAGAGATGAATTGCTCTTCAGGGAGAACATGCTCTCAGCTCAAATATTAGTGGGCCAGAGTAAAAGGGGAAAGTTTCACAGCTCCGTCTTCTCCACAGTTTCTCTCAAACAATGTGCACCCTGCGGGCATCCTCATCTGCTGTAAATCAGTGTAGTTAACTGACATCAATGGATTTACACCAGCTTAGGATCCGGCCCATGGAGGGGACTCTGTATTTGATCTATCCCCTCCTGTGTGCAAGGAGCAGGAGGGGGCCAGTTCTTCAAAATAATAGCTGGTACCCTGCAGATCTGATACCCTGCAGATCTACACTGCCGAGTGGGTCAGGGACTGGCAGAGCTGGAGCAGGCGCACTCAGACAATGAGAAGGACTAGGGGGGATACATACATCGTTCCCCTTTTGGCCCCACAGAGCTTCTCAAGAATATATACTACTACCTGGCACATCGAAAGTCAATATGATTCTTTTTTCCCCAAGTTATGCTTTCCCACTATTCCTTGTGGCGCTCCTGTTCTGTGGTACTCACCATATCTCCAGATCCATTTTTGACAGTGATCCATGCGTGACTGTCATTGCTCACCATTACTTTATAAGATGTCACCCAGTCACTCCTAGACAGAAGGCAAAGGGTTTTGTTGTTTGTTGTGGTTTTTTTGTAAATTTATGCAAGTGTGTTTAATATAGCAACACTCATAAAACTGCTAATTATGGAAATCCCAATTGGCAAAGTAATATCAGCAGTTGGCTGGTGAACTGAAATGCAGAGCTGGTTTTGGCAGACGATTTAAAAACTTAAGATAGAAATGAACAGCACAACCAAGATAATGTTCTGGGTTTCCAGGAAGAGGATCAGCCCCTCTCCTTCCCCCAGTGTCTAAACACATTCTAGCACCTTTGATGGTTTATCCAGACCATATGCATCAACTCCAGAGAATTTGCATTATCCATGAATGTTGCCCACCCCAGCCACAAAACATTTATAATTCCTATTGTTACTGTCAGTGAGGATGAAAAAAGTAAATAAATACTCTAGGAGTAAAATCCCCTGAATTTTAAGCAACAGCATTTCCATTCAGTGGCTCATCCTACTTCTAATAACAGGCTGTTTCCATTTCCAGGTGCAAAAATTAGGGGTGCAGGAATCCTGAAAAGTTTGGTGTTTTAAGAAAGGGCATTTGAACTGAACCCTGAAGTTGGGTTCACAGCAGATGGAAAGGAACCAAACCCTACAGGTTCACAAAGAGGTATCTTGCTGAATACCCAGCAGGCTGGGGCCCTAGCCAAGTGAGGATTTTGGACACTACTGCAATCTGAATAAAAAACAGGAATAATATGGTCCAAGCTCCATAGACTTGAACTTTTTAGGGGCCCTCCTCTCCACATCACCTGCAGCCAGACCCTCTCTAATTCTAGTAGCCAGCCCCAGGCCAGGACCTCCCATTCTTACCTTATGGCCCTTGTGTTACACAGCTAATCAGGGGTTTATGGAGGAGTAAGAAGCCACCGCCTCTATGCTCAAGTGAATCAGACCTATCCAGATCCTGTGGTCAATCTGATATGGAGCACAGTCCCTATTCACTGGTACTCCCTACTGTGAGGGGAGTGGAGATAGTAGAGGGGGGCAGGGAAAGGGTGAAGCATTGGCTCCAACCCCCTACTCATGGACCAGAGGAGCTAGTCAGGTGTGAGGGAGGAAGTAAGCTACACCCTTTAAGAGCAGCAGTCACTTATTTCCTTCCCAACCCCTCCTTCCTGGGTTCGAGAGCCAGCATGGATCAGGGGAGGAACCGTCTCCCAGAGAGGTATGTCTGAGTCACAGTGCCTGGCTGGAGTTATGCCTGGGATGATGTAGCTCATGAAGCTCCTTTATCTGGGGCTAAAGTCATAATTTAGCCCCTAGCTAGTTCTAGGAAGTACTATGGTTTGTTGGTGGGTAGTAAGGGAGGCTGTGTAGGAGCAGGATTTTATAATTGTACTATGAGAATTAATGTATGATTTGATTTCATCCTGCCAGCCACCCTTTTTGAATAGCAGAAAGGAATAGAGACCAGAACAATCCTTATGACTGATTATGGTCACCCTTTTGTTTTAGGATAAGTTATGTCTACTATGGTTTCCTATATGTATTACAAATTAGGCACTCTGGTTAAATATACATTTCTTTGTTTTAAGGTTTAGAAAGTAAGAGACGGGATCTTGTATTGTGTCTATGTTAAGGAGATTAGAGGAACGTTGAAGGCCTGGGCCCCAATGTAAATTGTTTTGATTATAAGATTTAGGAAGGCTTAATTTACAATGCCTTTTCTTGCTCAACATAAAAACTTCTGTATACCTTTAACTGTAAAAGACTGTTTGTGTGAATGAGGAATGTATGCATCAGGAAACGATAAGGTGTGAAGGCCACTGTTATAGCCAAATGGTCAAGGAAGAAGGAGCGAAGAGACTTAATGACACCATCAATGTGCATCCATAATGAAGGAAGGGCAGATTGATGATCCTAAGGTGAAGACTGGCACCCCTAAGGACAATTGATTAAATCTAAACCAGGACAGGATGACCCTCTCGGAGGTGTATCGGAATGTTTACACCAATTAAGAAGTAACCGGTCAAAAACTGACACAGCAAAATCCATAGACTTCAACAGAGAAAAAAAGACTATAAAAGCAGGGTGCTTTGCCATGGAGTTTGGGTTCGTCTTGCCACACTCCAGGAGCATCAGATCGTGACCGACAAAGCCCGGCTCCCCTCTGCGACCAATCTGGCCGGCCACTAGATTAATCCAGACTCTGGACTGGTAACTATAAACGTCAACTGGCAGGACTCTGTGTGTATGTATGTGTGTGTGTGCACGAGTATGACTGAAAAGCATATGCTAACTGCTCTATTCTCAATAAATGTGGCGTTTTTGCCTTCTCCTCTATAAAAGATCCCTTCTCCTCTAAGGAAAAGATCCCATAACAGCTGGGTGGCAAAAGGGAGCTTCACCAGCTTTCTAGCCTTCTGAACAATCTCATCCCATGTTCACCAAACTTCTGCAAAACTGGAGACTGATGTTTTCCTCCCTCTTCCATCATGAGGTGACCTCCCAGATAGTGAGTAAACCAATCCCTGCTAGCAAAAATATGATGACTTGTGGGGCCTTACGTACTACTGAGTGTATCTTACTCGTAAGAGTATTCCCATTAAAGAAAATAAGATTGTGGATGGTAGTAAGCACTTAGGGCCAGACTTACAAAAATACTTAGGTACCTACAGATGCAGATTGATGCCATGGGGATTTTCAAAAGTGCTTAGGCAGGTTAGGTGCCTGGCTCCCATTGAAAATCAGTAAGAATTAGGCTCTCAGCAGGACTTTTAAAAAGAACTCTAAGTTAGGTACCTATGTGTGTCTTGTAAATCTGTCCCCCCATGAGCATTTTCCAGACCAGTTAATTGATTTGCATTTTGAATCAATATTCAGCCTTTTAAAAAAAACCAACTTTGCCATTACTACTAGTTTAAACTGCAAAAACTTGGATATTATCAGAGAGACTGGATTTTTTGCTTTTGTACTTCAAAGCTGAAAAAACACCTACAAAACACACGCTGCTGCAGTATTTTTTAAATAATTGTTAAAATCCCTAAACAGAACACTGTATTAATTTTCTGTATCTCAATGCAGGATCTCTAGAGACAGGGGATTTACTAGGATATAAGTTCTGAGAAATGCCATGCTGGCGTCTCAAGTCTTTCTGGCTTTTAAATGTTATAAAACAATATAACTAGCAACTTCCGAGCTCCGTATACATTCAGTTCACTTATAGTAGCATCTCTCCTTCCCTGATTTTGTGAAATAATGTGGTGGTTGCCCTAGGAAAGCCACTGTGATCATAAATTCTACAGATTTACAGAGGCAGATTTACATCCAGTAGAGATGGAAATGAGGAATTTAGGAGACAACCCCTGTCAAAAAATAAATTTCAGTCAAAAAGTGAAAAAAAAAGCTCAAGAGCAAAGTCCACACTTTGAAATGTGTGCACACACACACATGCACATGTACACACACACACACACACACGCACATGTACACACACACACGAAAGGATTTATTTTTTGCTATTCTCCATGGCAACTTGTCAGGGACAGGAGGCATAACCAAAAGGTCAAGATGGGTGACCAAAAAAGGTTTTATTGCAAACCAAAGGCATCATTCCTTTTCCTGCCACCTACTGCAATGCACCATAGAATATTTTTATTTGGATTTTGAAAATAAAATGAGAATGAAAAATAAAAATTAGTCCTTATTCCTTGGTTTCCTTAAGGAACTGGTTTTGAATGTATTGGAAAAATGAATCAAACATTGAGTTTCTTTATGTCAAGATTCCAGATCATAGCTGAAATTCCATATAACTGAGAATGTTATAATAATACTGCAGCACAGATGTAGAATGTAAAAACCACCAGTCTATGACAGTATTAAACATCTCTTTTTGATATCGTGGCAAATTTTCTGGTCCTTAACATTTTCTTTTAAAGGAACTAGCTCAATTTACTGACACAAGAAAACATGTGGAGGCTAAAATTATATTCTTGACTTAAGAAGTGTTTTATGCTACCATCTCCATTTTGATTTTCTCACTTCACACTCTTGTAAACGTCCACATTTCTACAAAAGGAAAATGGGCACTGATCAGACTTGAACCTGTAACTTCTTGGAAGTGATAACAAGTAACATGCTTCTCAGATGAAGCCTGTCAATTAAAATCCAAATGTGGCTAGATCTTACCCCCAGATACATGTGCAGCTTGAAAAGATTGTACAGGATTGGTGGTAGAAGATAAGCCAGGCTAATGTGGCAGCCCACACATCTGGTCCTCATTTAGCTGGGGTCTGTGGGTTAGGAGGTATCGGATAAACTGCAACAAATAAGCACACCTTTCCTCTTGCTCAGAGTAAGAAAGTGATTCCCTCTCTCCCACAATGTGGCTTGATCTGTCTCCCACTGACACTGTTTGCAAAATTCCCTTTGAATTAAATAATGCAGGAGCAGATGAATAATGAATTGTTCTCTACTTTCTCTGAGAAATCCTGCCACAACCAGCAAGAGTCTCTTTGTAGAGGAAACACTGGGCAACATCTCTGTTTCACCTTGCTGTACTACTTCAGGATTTAGCGCATGCACTAGACTAGACATTAGTACTGAGATTTGAAGACAATAACAATTTTAATAGCACTTCATATCAAAACTTCTCAAGGCTCTTTATAAAAGATGTATAAACATTTAACAACAGACCTTTCCCATTAAAGGGAATATAGGAATACTTTTCAGTATTTTAGGCATCTATTGCTCTTTTATAGAGAACATGCTGGAAGCTGTGCTGAATTAATTCTACAAATATCGGGATCTACAATAGTCCTGTAGTATACTAAATCACAGGTACCTATCTGCCTTGTGAACACATGAAAAGCTAATACATAGAAATTCCCTATAACAGCATCATGAAAATACTGAATTCCTTATCAAACTAGTTTCTGTGCATAGGACAGACAGTATAAACCTTGTTGGTAGACAGTCTGCCACTAAAGGATGTACATGTTGTTTTGTTGTGTCTGCTCCACAATGTTCTAATAT